AGAGTTTGTGTTTTCACACCTCAAACTGGGGCCAGTTCATGCTCATGCCCGGTCCGTGGGTGTTCCTCCACCATCTGAGGTCTTCAGTTTCGTTGGCTGCACGAATGGTCTGGCCCAGGTCCTGGTACAAGGCTTTGAAGCTAATGGACAGAAAGGGAGTGAATAATCACATTGATTGACACTCTGTCATCAATCTGCAGACCATCTTTCATCTGGCTTTGCACCCTGTAACGCATGTTTAGGGACACTTGTCATTAACCCTGCTTCATCGGGAAAAGACAGGTTTCTAAGTTGGTGATCTTCTAAAGTCATAAAAGATTACTTATTGAAGCAGGAAGCAGCTGTCAAAGAAAACAACAGACTGTACTTGCTGGTTGAACACGGAGAGAATTAAAATCGACACAGTGCATTTTGAATTTACAGTAGCAGGTTGCTGATAGGTCCTGTTTACTCACAGGGCTGGGCATCGAGAACCCTAGAGCCGTCCTTTAAAGGTGGGATTTGAGATAAGATGAATGCACGCTGCATACTTTCTAATCAGTTTCATCAGCACTGAGCTGGTTTGTATACGCTCAGATATAACATGAAGAAAAAAAACAACAACAACAACATCTCTTCATCTACATCCAACCTTCCAAAGGAACAGCTGGTAAGAGGGCAGCTTTTTCCCCTGACACACTCTCAAAGTGTTTTTTAATATTTTTTTTTTTTAAAGGATCTCAAACTTATCACAGAGATGGAACATGGTTTTTTGGGGGGATTTTCTTTCCACTCTCTGTAATATGTACCAGGATGAACCATCTAGTTAACACACATTTCGCACCAGTAGTTGAATATTATCCCCCCATGTTTAAAGCCTTACTGACTAGTGTCACATGGGGGAGGTGGGTGAAAAAGTATTCCCATTGGTCCTTTATAAATTAACTCATCATCCAACGTGGTCTGCAGCCTCTAACTGACATAACACTAAAGGCTTAAAGAAAAGCATACTGTAAAGGCTGTGAGTTATATGATATTATACAATTTCATATTTATTGTAGCTGCAGGAAACATGCTCACTGTGGGACTAAAGAAACACGTGTTCAGGCTTTTTATTTGATCATTCGGACTCCTCAAATCTTTCTTAAGTAATGTTTTATATACACATATATATCGGTGCTCTGGAATAAATACATGGATACCAGAGGAAGTCTCTCAGAGTTTAAAAAATACGTTCACACAGTGAGAAACTGCTCTTCAAAAGAGCAGTTTCTTCAAGGGTTAATTTGCTCAATATTTGGACAGAGTTGGCTGGACTTTGCCATGGTAACCATTATTGGTAAAGTTGCTTGTTTAAATAAAATATGAGGTCAACAGTTAATGGACAACAGCAAGAGTTTTCCATTAACCCCTGTGTACATACGCACATGTTCAGACCGACATCTGTGCCTTCGCAGCTCTGCATGCCTTCGCTGTGAGTCATGGATCGCTTGATTCACGATCCACGTAATTTTGGATATCTAAATACAAGCATGTGGATTTTTCCTTACCTGTCTTTGGAGGATAGGTCAAGGTGTGTATGGATGTCGAGCAGGACATCTTTAAAGAAACACAGCCTCTTGCGCTCGGCCTCCTGGGTTAAGTCGAACACCTGCTCCATGTCCTCCATGTAGCGGGGGTTACAGCGGTTCAGCTCCTCCAAGGCCTTGGAGTAGCGCTCCTTTACCTGCCATAAACACACACACACTGAGCTACTGCGTAGTACACCAATGTGTGTTTTGTTAAATGCACCATTTCAATTACACTTCATGGTCTTACTCAGGTGCATGTGTCTTGCATGCTTTGAGTATATGTGCAGGACTGTCTGTTCCAAAGAGCAGAATAAAAACCTTTGGAAAGCAGCTATAAAGCTCATTGTAGTTTTATTCTATTTTAATAATGAGACATTTCAAGCTTTATTCAGAATTGCATTTTTTGTTCAATCATTTAAGT